AGAGAGAGAGAGAGAGAGAGAGAGAGAGAGAGAGAGAGAGTCTGTGGTTGGGAATGTCGATTTGTGTTGTTGAAACCGGGAGGATCATCATTGAGTGAGTGATATATAGCGATTGGTCAGTGGAAACGTTGATCAGTCTAACCGGAGATAATTATTCGATTTGATTAATTAATTGGATTACCTGTTGAGCAATCTTAGCCGAAAGGTCAACCCGAGTGGGGCACGTATCAGGAATTTTTTTGTCCTCGGGGATTCTACTCTTTTTGCTTCGATTAATAGTCTGCTTGCTGGGATCTCTCTAGTGACGAGGCATGGCTGTGATCAATGACTGTCTGATTGGAAAATCGCTGATTGCAGTAGATGAAGAAAGAGAAAACAATCCTATCCTATGAAAGACTGTCCGATTGGAAAATCGCTGATTGCAGTAGGTAAGGGAAATTCTTTGTCCTTGGGGGATTTTCTTCATGAAAGAAATGCAGTTCTGTATTCTACCGGGAGGCGGGGCAGAAGCATTTTGCCCGCAGGGGTGCTTCGCACCATATATCCTATCCTATTCTGCTATCTTGAACTGAGTTTTCAGTTTTGTGAATTGTCTATCCTACCGGTTGCCCGCCGGGGGTGCTTTGTCAATTGTCTATCCTATCCTATCCTATTCTGTTAGCTTGAACTGAGTTTTCAGTCTCCATATCAGAGTCTGTTAGTTTTCAGTTTTCTTACTACAGTCAGTCTGTTAGATCGATATATACTCTTTTACCACATTGCCACATAGTCCTGGAACGGGATCTGAATTGTATATCCTATCCTATCCTATCCTATCCTATCCTATCCTATCCTATCCTATTCTGGTAGCTTCAACTGAGTTTTCAGTTGCCATATCAGAGTCTATCCTCTCCTATCCTCTCCTATCCTATGCTATCCTATTCTGTTAGCTGGGACTGAGTTTTTAGTTTCCCTACCACAGTACTCTTTTATGACATTGCCACATATTCCTGGAACGCCCATCTACTCTGTACGCAGCGGATAGGTCGACCAGCCAGTGAAACCGTCAACAGAAGGGCCTGGATGCACTCACCGGGACCACAAGATCTATGTTGCCAGGTATCAGGTGGCGATAGTAGGAGAGCGCGGCCCGATATGAATATGGGAAGTACCAGTCAGTGAGAAAAAAAAGAAGTCGAGATGCAAGAGCTCATTGAAGACCAAACGTGGGTAAACAGATTTGAAACGCAGAATGAGAGAGAGAGAGAGAGAGAGAGAGAGAGAGAGAGAGAGAGAGAGAGAGAGAGAGAGAGAGAGAGAGAGAGAGAGAGCACCAATCCAAGAACACACTGTATTGAAGCCTCTTGTGACAGTGAGAAGCGCTCTTCGTGCCTCCAACAACAGAGCAGTAACCCTCCCTATCTATGATGTGTCCGCCTATACGGCTTCCCTTCTTGACTACACCCTCTATCCTACTACTTTCTCACTCTTTTCTATTTACTCTCCTCTGTGCAGATGCTGGTGAAGAGGCTGATCGAATGAGGCACTCCTCGGCCTGCACAAGACATGTACCCACCAGTCCTCTTGCTGTCCTCTCTCTCCCTACACCCCCCACCTCTTCCGCCTCTCAGCGCAGCTAACCAGCTATAGCTGCTGCTGTCAAGGCAGCTCCTTCGGACTCCAGCGTGGGGGTGAGTTTCTGCTTCGCTCAAACCGCGCTACCGCAAGATACTGCCGCCTGCCGAATGCGTCTATTGCCTTGGCCTCCTTCCTTTTGTCAGGATGAGGTCTCCAGGGCCTGGATTGCAGCCTGGGTACCTGTGCGTACCACATAGTCGCCTGCTCGAGTCCACTTCGCCACCATCCAACCCTAAGGAGGCGAAACTCTAAACCCGACATGCTTCTGCCTTCAGCTCAATTCACATTCACAGTCAGAAGCATTTGGAGGTATCGCTAAACACAGTTTAGCAGAGCTGAGGTAGGATAGGAGCAGAACCTGGACATTTTGTGTGTGAAGATGCATGTTTGTTGAGGGAAAAGAAACAGGCGTGTGAATCACATATCCTTGCAACATTGAACATGACAATAACAGGCGTGTGAATCACATATCCTTGCAACATTGAACATGACAATACACATGCACACACGAAGACCCAATGCTTCCTCTTTACCCCGGTCTTCTCCCTGCACTCTTCTCCTTCTGTTTCCCCTCCTTGCCTTCCCTTCCCTTCCCTTCCCCTTGTACCTCCTTCCTTCTCCCCGTGTCGAACTGCTGAATGCAGGCATGTGAGTGAGCATCGCTAAGACAACAGAAAAAATTATGGGTGCAGGCAGTAGTGCACTTAAAGGCAAACGGGTCTGTATGCATCCCTTGCTGAAGTACGCAAACGTGATGTGCGTTGTAGCTTTGAGGATTCAGCAATGGAACGGCTGTTTCATCAATTTACCAAAACAGTACATTACAATCATTTAAGATATCAGATATGAGTTGATAGAAGATTATAAGGTAAGCCTGTTTTAATTTTGGATGTACAGATTCTACACATCTGGGTGGAAAAGGGGTTCTTCTGGTGACAGTCTACGACATACATACAAACAGTTGGCAAGAAGAGATGAAGATGCGCCTTAATGGTTTCATTGCAGCCGGGCCGAGGTCCAACATCTGCTCAGCCCGATCGTGACGTTGTTGGGGATGCTGTTACGTCCAAAGAACGCGGATATATCTGCTTAGCCCGAAAGCCGTGGTGAAAGCATACTTATCGTGCCAAATCTGTCCTTGCGCGAAAGACAAGGGTCGGCTCTGGTGTTTGTCGAGAGCAGGTTTAGGTTTGGCAAGCAATCGACTACTGTCTTTTTTTTCCACACAGCTTGCCAAAGACGTCCGCAGCAGAACGCTGCACATAACCATTGTAATCCTGAGTGTATTTTGAGGTTACGCACGTCGGTGCGGGTGGTGGGGGCTCTGCTCTGGTGTACCCTTCTTCGTTGTCTGCGTGAGATGCTGGGGGAAATTATTGTGTTTGGGGTGTTAGTTTACTGCTACAAACCTCTTTTCCGGACTCTGCAACTTTTTTTCAGCTTGATGGGAGTCGGCCCATCAGTTCATGAGAGACTTCTGGATGCCGTCGTCAAGCAAGACTGGCAGGCTATTGAAAAATGCCACCACGATGGTGCCAACCTGGAGTTCACAGACAAAAAGGAGAGGACTGCCCTAATGATTGCTTGCTCCATGGAGGAGAGCTACCATGTGGTCGACACCCTCCTTCGACTTGGTGCGAGAGTAGATGCGTTCAAGAGAGGCCCATCGGGTGGTTTTCCAATCCACTTCGCAGCAAGAAGGGGCCTGTACAGGGTTGTGGAGAGATTACTAGAGGCCGGTGCCCCACCTAACGTCTTCAACGATGATGGGCAGACCCCTTTGTGGATTGCAAGAGAGAAAGGGCACTGGAAGGTGGTTCGCGCTTTTGAGGGGCGCTTGGCTGTTTTCAAAGGTCATGTAAAGGGACTCGCAGTGCCTCTTGGAATCATGGGCTTATTCTCGAATGTACTGCTCGCACGGAACTGGTACATTGTCGTGGTCCCCATTCAGAAAGACCCCCATCTTCCACCGGAATATGAATTCCTCATGTACACCTCCGAGAAGCAAGCAGTCCCGAAAGTGGAGATCCCATTGTCGGGCGTCTCTCTCAAGATAGAGAAGGAACAGACTTCCGACCCCAGCATCATCGTTTCTGACAGCTCAGGCGGTAAGAGATTCAAGTTTTTCTCCAAGGATAGCCAAGGTGGAGATGCAGTAATTAGACAGCTGTACGATAGCTGCAAGGTTCTGTGCCCGACTGTTGAACCGAGTCCAAGTGCACCACGCATTCAAGGCGCAAGTCGGGAACGTGCTCCGGCTCCTGCTATGCAGCCCACCCCGCCACCCGCTCCTCGTACTCCTGACCAAAGGCCATATGCCATGCCGGCCGAATCTGTTTATCCTCCTCTGGCAACTCCAGTTCCACCTTTTGGCTCCGCTGCTGTGGCTAATGAGACAACGGGCTTTCCAGCGCATCTTAACCCTCAGTTTCACATGCCAGTCCTTTACCCACCCATTTCTCAGCCCCCATATACGACCGAAGAGGGGGAGGCTCTGCCTGAAAGCCAGGATTCTGGGTGGCAGCGCTCACGCCAAAGCAGATTCCCGACGCCTTCGTTTATGCCTCATGGTAGCGATGGTGGATGGGCTCCAGAGCCGGTTGGAGACTACAAGGGGTGGGGTCCAGCGTGGAGCGGGCAGGAGCCCGCAACTTCTTCAGGGATGGAACACAGGATGCCTGAACAATTCAACGGGTGGGATGAACCATCTGTTCTTGAGTCAGATTGGAGTCAAGGCCAAGTAGCATCGGGAGATCTGGAAACCCAGGAACAGAGAGGGGAAGAGAGGGACTCTCAACTTCGTCGGGACTCCATGCGAACGGTGAATAATGACGATCTTTCCCCTCATGGCATACCGGAGGAGACAGCACCGTCAGCACCACCACTCCCACTCGAGCGCGAGAATGAACGGCCGCATGCAGGGTTGCACAGCAAGGAAAGAGGAGAACAAGCTTGTTGTGGCCCGCGAGAACCTCAGCGGTCATGGAAGACGGATGGTGGCTGCCCAATCTGTATGGACAATCCTGCTGATGCTGTGTGCGTTCCATGTGGGCATGTGGCAGGCTGTGTGTCCTGCCTGGGTGATATCCATTCTCGTAATATGGGCTGCCCGGTTTGTCGAGCAGACATAAGAGAAGTTATCAAGATGTTCAAAGTGTGAACCATTCATTACGCGTGCGCATTCGTTGACACATGCACATACACACACACACACACACACACACACACACCCACACCCACACACACACACACACACCCACACACACACACACACCCACACAAGTAACACACATCCAACCATTGCGCGCGCACACACACAAACACATGCAACATACACTGAAACGTGGCGAGCCTTGCGCTGTTCTTAACCTGGGTGTATTTTGGGCAGATATGGTGTGCCTATTGGGTGACTGTACAAAACACATACACCGACGCACAACACATATTGGGGATAATTTCTGATGGCTGTTTACACAATCTCACACAGATGCATGCTCACGTGCGCACACACAGGTACACACACACACACACACCCAGCATACACTGTGCGCAGGTACACACACACACACACGCACACACAGCATACACTCAGACGTGGCCAGCCTTGTGCTTCTTAACTTGGGAGGACTGTGGGGGGATCTGGTGTTGACATTAGGTGACTGTACAGGACATGCATACACAGACAGACAGTTTGGGATAATTTCTGATGGCGAGAGGATATACACTGATGCACAGACAGACACATAAGGTAAGGCTGTTTTGGATGTACTCATCTGGGTGCAAAAGGGATTGTTCTGGTGACAGACACACACACACACACACACACACACACACACACACACACACACACACACACACACACACACACACACANAGAGAGAGAGAGAGAGAGAGAGAGAGAGAGAGAGAGAGAGAGAGAGAGAGAGAGAGAGAGAGACTGTCACACTCAAACATTTGGGGATGTTCTGTGTGGCTTGCAGATAAGAATGACATCATCGATGAGGCTATCCTATTCTTTCGTGCAAATGTGCTGTTCAGAAACTTCGAGGTGCAGACACCGGCGGACAAGCTGCTCATTTACTTGACACTGTTCATCAACGTATGCCTGAAGAAATTGGACTCCTGCAAGTTTGAAGCAGAGGGCCTGAAGCAGCTAATCAATCTCAGCCTTGAGAGGTGTCCTCTGCCTGGCGAGCCTGGCTTTCTTCTGGGAGGAATTGTCGAACTACCTCGCACAAAGGAGGAAGCAGGTAACAAGGAATTTGTTGTCCTCTTCTCCCTCTCTGCCCACGGTTTTCTGGGCAGCTCTGTTTGACGATGTATACCAACAAATGATAACTATATGGCATCCCACCTCTCCCACGGACCCCTTTTTCACTTTCCCCCTCAGCTCTTCCTTACCCCCCCCCCCTTTCGTTCCTGGGACTGAGAAAAGGATTTTCTATGTGGTTGATCGTAAAACCACCGTGCACAGCCTGATGAGTAATTAGGTTGAGAAAAATTGCTGTGGAGATATCTGTATGCATACATGCTGGAGATATCTGTCTGTATGTATATAAATGCTGAATCAATCATTGAACCTGTCTTGTGTTTTGAGTCCTTTGACAGTTTATCCGTTACCGCCTGATGTTGCTATGAATCCTGTGCCCTACAAATATGTTTGACTGATGACGAGGAACAGAAAGTACAAGAGGAGGCTGAAAGGCCCAGTGGCTGCAACTTCCTGGTTGCAAGTTGACCGATGGCGTATTGATGGAGTGCATGTGTGCTATTGCGTATGTTATGAGGTGGTCGCGGGAACTGAGGGATGAAGCATCTATGCCAAGGTTAATCAGCCACAGGAGTAACAAACATGCTATGCGAAAAATGTTATGCGAAGGTGGGTTCTGCCATGGGACCTCGGTCTCCAGAGGTACGGATGTCTGGATGCTGCCTATGTGCATTGTGGTGGGTCAATCGCGCAGACGTAATGAATGCTACCCCACTGAAAAATATTTCTTTGTGCAGCTGAGTCCCTTGGCTAGGCCACCGTTTCATAGGTGTAGATATCTAGGTGTTCGTTTTGCGGTAATGTGGTGTGCAGTGTCCGCTTGACAAGTTTCATCAGCCGCAGAAGTAATGGTGGGCTACGGACGCTAGATGCGGAACAAGGAGGCAGGCTTTGCGTTCTTTGGGATTTTTTTTCTGGATGGTGTCTGGTGTGGATATGCAACGAACATAGTCATCCACGGATGACAATACACATGCCCAAACATGCTGCATACCGCGATGGACGTAGCTGAAACACGTTAGAGTGCAGAAGCAGAAGCAGAAGAAGAAGACGAAGAAGAAGACGAAGAAGAAGAAGAAGAAGAAGAAGAGAGGTGTTGCTACCTTCCTTCCATCTCCGATCAGTAACAAACAAATACACATGCCCAAACATGTTGCATACCGCCATGGACGTAGCTTAAACACATGTTAGAGTGCAGAAGAAGAAGAAGAAGAAGAAGAAGAAGAAGAAGAAGAAGAAGGAAGAGAAGTGTTTCTACCTTTCTTCCATCTTCGATCAATAAGTACCCCTTCATTACCCCCCGTGTTTGCAAGTACAGGCGAAAGCGTTCATGCGTGGGAGGACAACAGCCCTGGATCTGTGAGAAAGAGGCACCACAATGACGAAAACTCTCCCTTCGTCCTCGCACAACTGTCTAGATGTGAACTTGGTAGGCCTGCGTTATGGTTCCTATCTACCCTGCGTGCCGTCGTCCGTTAACCTTTGTATGCTGTGTCCAGGTAAGCACCAGTGATGGTGGGTGGACTCCCACCATAGCCAGCCATTACAAGCTACTCAAGAAATGAACCCACTGGTACCCTCTTCGTTTTAGTGCTGTGCGCTCAAGCAAGCATTGCACAAGATAAGAGGCGTGAGACTCCACCCATCTCTTACGAAGAGGCCTTTTCGTACATGCGAGGAACCAACCTACTAAAGAATGGAGCTGGACAATATCATATAGGCAGCAGGGCGGCCAGCTCTCGCATCCACGTTGTTGTTCGGGGGCGGCGGGACTGGTTACAGAAGTTGCTGCGGCCTTGAAATATGCAGTTACACTTGTGGAAAGCGCATCGCAGCTGGGTACTGCTGTGGCCAGTGGGCGATCGTGTGCTGCAATCCATTGGTGGCACTGGCAAGTGCGATGCAGATGAGCTGTGGCGCAGACCCAGAACCAGTTGTGACCATAGTGACATAGTCCCTCTTAAACTTGCAGGAAAGCTCTTTCGGATGCAATATTTGCAGGAATGCCCCTGTCCTGTGCAGCCATGTTTCCGGTGTGTGCCTGAAGTTGTCAGAAAATGTGGAAAAAAAAAATGGACAAAGTGTAGAACTTTCAGAGAAGGACAACAGAGTTTTATAGTTAGTTTGCAATGCAACCCAAACATGGTCAAGCACAGGAAAACAAACAAACAAACAAAAAAAAGCAAACAACATATATGCGAACGTGGAACAATCCCGACCTCAAGGCAGCAGCACGGCTTGCTTGCATTCTCTCTTCCCGAGTGCGAGGTTCTCTCGAGTTTTTTTTTTAAACACTCGTGAAGTCATTTGACCATACCAGACATGACGAAGTGTCCTGAACCGCAAGTATACAATGTGCTGCTTGGTTTCACTGTCCAATTCCACCGATTAAGGCTCTTTCCCCTGTGCTGCTAGCTGGGAAGTATGGTAGGTGCTACAAGCACTCTGTCCCCTTCCGATATGCAGGGATATACTTATCGGAATATATAACTCAGTGAGCCGGTCATATCTCTAGTTCTGGATGCTGTGCTGGCAAGTCGTATGGAACATGATCCTGCCATATCCCTACCTTCTTCCCTCGAATACAACGTATGGTCATTATAGCTGTGTATCTAGACTGAAAGATGCCATAAATACAGCTATATATAGCTGTGTATCTAGACTGAAAGATGCCATAAATACGGCTATAATGACCGTACGTTGTATTCGGGGGAAGAAGGTAGTTCTGGATGCTGTGCTGGTAAGTCGTATGGAACATGATCCCCCTCTGTCAGGGCAGCCAGTCACTGTTCTGCGCAGTGATTCCTCCCTCGCGAGTCGTGATGATAGAATCTCCATCTGTGGAAGGAGGAATCGGTGGTCGTCTAGGGAACTTGCTACTCCGTCTACATGGGCACGAACCATGGTTAACGTCAGCTGTATTAAAGCAGGAAATGAAGCGAGGTTACCAATGGGCCTAGCTCAGTCGGTGGTACACCCATGAACCGTTGAAGTACAGACCCGAGTTCGAACCCAGATGCGACCAGAGGACCAGAAAAAATCATTCTGAATTTCCTTGGGGACGGTCCGTTCAACGATGATATCTCGAGGCTTTCGCCCCTTTTTTTTTTTTTTAATGAAGGAAATGAAGTGAGGCAGGCGTTGACAGGGACTGGAGCCCACGATGACAAGCCACTGTAACCCAGGATCCTAGCCGGCTACGATGACAAGCCACGGTAACCCATCCTGGCCTAGCCGGCTACTTGCGGGTATTTGCAGTGGAAGAGAGACTGTGTGGGGAGGAGAGAGAGCTGTAGGGAGAGCCAACCCCTACCATAGCGTAGCCACCACTCTCTCGTCCGTCTTGTCTGCAATCTGACCTACAATAGAAAGCATGATATGTGCATTTCGGACATTTCCCCTAAGTTTGTTGCAGCGAAGTGGCACCTGTAGTGTGTGTGAGTGACCTTGTGTAGCCCGTGCCTATCTGAGTAGTTCACAGGCAGGAGCTGATAAATTAATTGTAGGCTCTCTGTTCTCTGCGGACAACCTTTCATGTCAATTGTGGGCTTCGATCCGTCGACAGCCGTCCGCTGACAGTCCCAATTGCTTTGGAGGTCGTTACAAAACTAGAAAAATAATCAGAACTTGTGGAGTCTTCGCGGACTAATTATTGACCTTGAACCACCAGTACCTACCGGTTCAGCCGGCCGGCCGTTACTGCGGAAGTTGAATCAGCCCGTTCCTCCGGCCCAAATTCATTCGAAGCCGGGGGGTATGAAAAATGCGGTAGGTACTGGTGGTTTAACTCGCCTCTCGTGGCTGTACTTACTACTGGAGAACATAGTCGAGAAATTGCAGAAAAAAAAGGTAAACGGACTCCCATCTCTCCTTCTTTTTATAGAAAAGAAGAAAAAGCACGTCGTTGGAGATATAAGTTATTTCAAACACCCCTTTTAGTGCCAGCCCATTGAACCCAAGGACTCGTCCCATGGCGAGTCGTTGGTGACAATGGGCCAATGGCAAGTGAAAGTGGGGAATGCAAATAGAAAGACAATAGCACAATGAAGCCATTCATAATTTCATTAGATTGAGTAAAGGCAGGGATAGAACGGAAACGACTTGCGAATGTGCGTGTGGGTGGAGACAATGGCACTAAGTAATCAAATCATTCAAGTGCCATGAGGATTCCCAGTGTGCCAAACGGAAATTCTGGTGGATCCCTGTCTCAGAGTGGGGAGTTGTTTTATTTAAAATTTTAAACGTATCCCACGTACACCTCGTAGAAAGCCTTGGGATGGAAAAGTCGGAGTAAAGGGAAAAAACAAAAAATAAAGAAGAAGAAGAAGAAGAAGAAGAAGAAGAAGAAGAAGAAGAAGAAGAAAATGCTCCGGAAAAAAAAACAACGATGTTCTTTCTCTTTTTCCTTCTTCTTTTGTTTTTACCCCCTCTTTTTTTCACCCAAGCTGACAGCGATGCTTTGTCATTTTTTTGGCCAAGCCTCAGGGTGCTTTTCTTTTTTCTTTTTCTTTTTGGTTTTCTTTTCTTCTCAGTTTTTTTTTTCACAATTTCAGTTTACATGTGCTAGGGTGTCCGGCTTTAGAAGGTGCTGGAAGCGCTGTCCTATATTGGGACCCTTGTGCGATGGCTCCCTTATATCGGCGTGGAGAAGCACCAGCTGGAAAGCGGGCCCAGCATTCGGTACAGCGTATCAGCATTGGAGATGTTGTGGGGGCAGGGATGATTGTCCTGAACAGAAAGGATTAACTTCCATTTATTTCTTTCCCTGAACCCCGTTGTGCTGACCTTCCGTTTCAGTGCCCAGGATGCAAATCTCAGTAATACAAATTGTAAAAATAAAAAATACAAAAATATTCAAAACAATCAATAAAATGGTAGATAAAATAACAAAATAAATATTGTAAATATATAAATATTATATAGATATTGTAAATATAATAAAATAAAAAAAATATGACAACTGTAAATTTAGATCTTAAC